GTACCTGTAGAAGTAGTTGATACAGTCAAGACAGTCATAGTGTTTCGTTCCACAGCCATCATTACATCTTTAAATGTCATTCATCTCATTTCTTCATCAGCAAAATGTCACATCCATAGCAGCAAACAGAAACCACCTTTACTGATTTAATGTATGATTTAAAATGTGATCTCCACAGGCTGTAATGCTGTACAGGTCAAACTGTGTGAAAACTTCAGCCATATGTCATGAACTTAATCTGTCATCTGTTTGTTCCTCATCAGTGATTTATTTCTTGATGGATTATTGGAAATGCTAAACTTGTTTTAAACTCCATATTGATTGTAAATAAACTTTTAGCTCTCTGCAGCTCCATGAGTGCTTTGTGAAATATTTTGAATGTTTTTAAACAGATTAACATTTACAACTTGTTTAATATTGACTTTAACACTGATGGGCCCCAGCAAAGGTGTTATGTTATGAAGAAACACACAATTGGTTTTACTGGTTGTAGCTGATGCACACCCACAAATGTTAAAAAAACATGTCAAGCTAGGTTGCAGTTTCTACTGTTTCAGTAAAGCCCTTGTGTTATTTATTTCTTCTTTTATCACCACATAGGTCATCAGTGTGATTTGTTAATGGGATCTTATAATGTAGTCAGGTCACTGTTGTTTATACAACACATTTAAAACAACAGCAACTGAGTCAAAGTGCTTTCCAGTAGAGAAGTAAACACAATGTCACTAATTTGCAGAGGTGGGTATCCAAAAATATTACTGAAGTAAAAGTAGAGAGTAGATATCCACAAATTACTTGAGTAAGAGTAATAAAGTACTTGGATTAAAACCTTCTCAAGTAGTGAGTAAATGCTGAAACCTTTCATTTATGTCATTACATTAGGATGTGCAAATTCAGATACAATGAAACAACAGAACTTTTAATGAGGCTGGAAATAAATACATCTTTACAAAATAATACATTAAAGGCAACTTTTACCACAACAAGTTGGAAATAAATCACCCCCCCCCCCCAGGTTTTTTTTGTCAACACACTGCTGTGTCCCCAAGACATTCTTGGTAAACAATCTTTTTCCTTGCTATTTGGAAACTTTGTAAACAGCACCGACTGTTAGCTTTGAACTTAAACACATTCCTTCACATCAAGCAGGGGACTATATGTGTGTAATGCTGAATTTAAAAGACTTATTTGGACTTTTGACTTTCCACTGTCATCTCCAGTGCTTTGAGTGTGTTCAGCCCCAAGTTCTTGTGACTGCACCAGACAGCCAGCTGCTTGGCCTCCTCTCTGTAAGTAGACTCATTACTGTCCTGGATGAGTCCAATAAGAGTGGTATCGTCTGAGAACTTCAGGAGCTTCACAGAGGGGTGTGAGGAGGTGCAGTTGTTGGTGTACAGGGAGAAGAGCAGTGGGGAGAGAACACATCCCTGATGGTGCAGGTACTGGATGTGAAGTTACCCAGTCTCACCAGCTGCTGTCTGTCTGTCTGTCAGGAAGCTGGAGATCCACTGACAGGTGGGGGGTGGGACTGACAGCTGGGTGACTTTTGACAGGAGGAGATGTGGGATGATCATGTTGAACGCCTAACTTAAGTCCACAAACAGAATCCTTGCGTAAGTCCCTGGTCTGTCGAGGTGTTGCAGTATGTGATGCAGCCCCAAGTTGACTGCATCATCCACAGACCTGTTTGCTCGGTAGGCAAAGTGCAGGGGGTCCAGCAGGAGTCCAGTAATGTCCTTCAGATGGGCCAACACTAGTCTCTCAAAGGACTTCATACCTACAGATGTCAGGGCAATGGGTCTGTAGTTGTTCGCTCCCATGATCTTGGTTATTTTTGATTACCGGGATGATGGTGGAGCGTTTGAAGCAGGAAGGAACCTCGCACTGCTCCAGTGATCTGTTGAAGATCTGTCTGAAGACAAGTGACAGCCAATCTGCACAGGCTTTCAGGCAGACAGGGGAGACTCGGTCTGTGCCTGGTGCTTTCCTGATCTTTTGTTCCTTGAAGAGCCAGCAGACGTCTTCTTCACAGATCCTGATTTCAGGTTAAGTGTCAGAAGGGAGGGGGGCAGGGCTGCAGGAAGTGTTGATGGCTGAGTAGGGAGATGGTTGGTGCTGGTGTGGGGTGTCAAGTCCTTTTTGAACCTGCAGTAGAACTGGTTCAGGTCGTCAGCCAGTTGTTGGCTCCCTACAGAGGTGGGGGGTGGTGGCTTGTAGTTGGAGATGTTCTTCAGGCCTTTCCACACTGATGCAGGTTCGTTTGCTGAAAAATGGCTCTTCCGCTTCTCAGAGTAGCTCCTCTTCTCTGCTCTGATCTCCTTTGTCAGTGTGTTTCTGGCCTGGTTGAACAACAGTTTGTCCCCACTCCTGCAGGCCTCTTCTTTGGCCTGACGCGGTTGTCTCAGTTTTGAATTGAACCATGGTTTGTCATTATTGTAATGGAAATTTTTCCAATGTCCTGTGATTGCAATTACTGCACAGGAGGGACAGAGTGAACTGACGCAGATCAACAAACAGAATTTCCAGTCTGTATACTTGCCGTTCGTGGATGTTTATTTGATGGTATGCATGAAATGAAAATACAGTGTTTTTTCTTTAAGTTAGTTTTTTGGCCTTTGTTTCATAGTGAAGTGAGAGAGAGACAGGGAAGTGGGGAGAAGAATTGGGGAGGATGTGTGAGAAAGGGCCATGAGTGGGATTTGACCTCATGACCTCCACATTGGGACTGTCGCCCTGTACATGGGTTGCCAGCTCAACTAGGTGAGCTACAGCGGCGCCTCATACAGTGGTTTCTCTACTGTGAATCTGGTATCTTTGCTGGTTTGACGCTGGTCTGCTGCTGATCTGGTGAGAACTGTTGGCTCTCCCCCTACCTGTGCCCTCCACTTCCTGTCACCGGTGCCCTCTACATATACACTGTGTGTCAAATTACCGCCACCATGTGTCCAAACAATAGTAATAATCCACATCAAATTACTTGCTGACAACAAACATAAATGGCTCCTACAATTATTAAAGCTTAAATGAGTTCTGGTGGGAACACACAAGTCCTCACTCAGGTTCTGGGGCGGGGTTATCGTGACCACCAAGACCAATGAATGGGACACACAAGCAGTGACTTGTGTTGTTTTTCGTCAGGATGTCCCTGGTCCACTCACAAATGTATTGGAATGAATCCCCGGACAGACAGAAGTTTTGCACAAACTGTTGCGCCCTGAAATCCGGTACAACTGTGTCCCACCAGTGGCACCACAGTGGTGGGAAAACAGTACCTTTATTACTTCAGTGAATTGCGGTATTTACGCTTAGAAATGCAGTCTTCTCATGAAATATAAGGTAACTGAAAGAGCCAGAAAGACTGCTGTTTTGAATGAAACTGTAATTTCTGTCAGTTAGTTTCTCCACTTGCTCTGATCTTTTTTGTTTTAACTCTTCGTAAAGTTCAAACTGAAAAGTAGCTGCCAAGCTGGAGAATAATTCTTCTTCCGGCTCTCGACGAAGGCGGACGCTTTTTCTCTTGCTCCCTCCCGGCCCTTATCTACCCTGCTTGCTACTCTTTGTCCTGTGCTGTCTTTGTCTGAATCTATCAGAGCCTCTCTCTGCATTTCACTCCGAAAACTCCAAAAACCTGAATCATGGATCTGATCAGCTGGTCTCTCAACGCAATTGATCAAATTTTCTCAACGAGAAGACTGGGCAAAGGAGAGCCCGCCTGCCCCGACGGAACATTTGCAGCGGGATACACGACGGAGGAGTGGAGGGTCGTGTGCCTCTCTATACTTTCAGTGGAGGATGTTGAAGACGTCTACATAATTGGGATCATGATAACAGGCTTCCTGCTGTTTGGAGCTTGTGGGTTCCTGCTTTATCGCAAAGTTCGGAAGACGGAGGCAGCAGTTTTGGCATTTGACAAGCTGCCCGTCATGGAGGGATTGCTTCGGGCTGTCAACTCTCAGACTCAAGCGATATGCGAACACAATCGCAAAATGGNTGTGTGTTTGCCTTTCATCACATCAGTAACCATTTTCTTGTGTCCCTTTGTCCCCAGAACTCCCACTGCACTATGTCTATCAGGAGGAGGAGGCTAATGCTGACCTACTTTGTAATCAGGAGAGGAACTCTGGTCTGCACCAGAGGGATCCAGACCACCTACAGATTAAAGAGGAACAGGAGGAACTCTACACCAGTCTGGACCAGGAGGACCCAGAATCCTCACAGATGAAAGGGGAACAGGAGGGACTCTGCACCAGTCTTGAAGGAGAGCTGTTTATGCAGAATCAGGAGCGTGATACCTTTATAGCAACTCCTACTTATAAGGAATGGGACCAAGGTGACACAGAACCAAACAGTTACCAGCTACTCTGTCACAACTTTTTTGTAGATGAGAGGTCAGATCAGGAAAGAAGCAAGCATGGAGACTTAGAACCAACTACAAATGCAGAGCTGAAGCAAACAACAACACATCACAAAAACAGCAGTCACAGTAACAATGTAGACAACACTCCCGTGGCTGAGAGTCACTGTGAAACTGACACAGGGAAAAAGACTTTCACATGTGAGGTCTGTGGAAAAGCCTTTAAAAATAGATACGACATGAAGAAACATTACAGCAGTCATACAGATGAGAAGCTGTTTGCTTGTAAGTCATGTGAGAAACGTTTCAGCAAAAGAGCTCAGCTAAAAGTCCACATGAGAACTCACACGGGTGAGAAGCCGTACTCTTGTACAACCTGCGGGAAAAGTTTCAGTGAGGGAGGTACTTTGACAGTCCATATGAGAACTCACACAGGTGAGAAGCCGTACATTTGTAACACATGTGGAAAAAGATTTTCTGAGAAATCAAAACATAAAAGGCACACAGCAATCCACAAAGAGGAAAAGCCATATTCTTGTGAAACTTGTGGGAAAAGTTTCTGTCGTCAGGATATCTTGGTGCTTCACATGAGAAGTCACACAGGTGAGAAGCCGTACTCGTGTAACACCTGCGGAAAAAGTTTCAGTAAAGGAGATAATTTGAAAGTCCACATGAGAACTCACACAGGTGAGAAGCCATACGTTTGTAACACATGCGGAAAAAGATCTTCTGACCTATCAGGACATAAAAAGCACATGGCAATCCACAAAGAGGAAAAGCCATATTCTTGTGGAACATGTGGGAAAAGTTTCTGTCGGCAGGATTACTTNCTCATACGAATGTTCAGCAATTGTTCAGTGTGTGCCCAGTTAATGAGTGACATCAGAAGTGGACTGGTGACAAAATAAATATATTTTCAGATTAAAACATTTTACAGATATCAAGTCTTGTATCACTGAAGATCAATGCAACATAACTAAGTTATGCAAAAACAGCTATTCATCAGCATGTATGGTGCATTAATAGCTGTGGCAACGCTGAACCAACAAAATAAGGAGAGGGGACCAAATCATTTGCTGGTGTGACCAACGAACAAAGTGGGTACCATTGGAAACGTTTTCACAGTTTGTTTGTTTTTGAACATCTAGACCACATTATACCAGGTACATACATGTAGTTGTAAACATACGTTTACATACATTTGTAAAGAACATATATGTCATGGCAGTTTTGAGTTCCCTATGGCTCCTGTAACTCTTAATTTTCTATAAGAAGTTTCTTTGTCCACGTGATCAGCAACAAACTTGAGCTGAGCTTTAAGGAGCCATTCTGGAGGGAGGGCTTCTTTCCAACATGGCAGCCTCTCAGCCCATGCTGATGTAAAATACACTTGACTGTGGACACTGACACATGTGTTCCAGCAGCTTCTAATTCATTGTAGACCTGCGTTTTAATCTCAGCAGTAGGTTCTTCCCCCCCCCCCCCCTGATGGTGGCAGTGACACAACTGTGCCATACTTACAAAACAATGTTTGCACAGAGGACTTTGGGATCTATAGCTGCTTTAAAATGGCACCAAGTGTGTTTCCTGACTTCTTCAAGTGAATGATTTGCTTTTTCAGATCTGTGATTTAAAATTTGCTTTCACCCAAAAAAAAAAAAAAAATAAGATTTTGGACCGCTGAGCAACAGTCCAATTCTTTTTGTCCTCCACCCAGGTAAGACACTTCTGACATTGTCTCTGGTTCAGGAGTGGCTTGATGTCAGAAATACGACAGTTTTGCTCCTTTCCTGAAGACCCCTGTGCTTAGTGACTCTTGTTGCACACCAGCACCAGTTCACTCCTCGTGAACCTCTCCCAAGTTCCTGAATCAACTTTTTTTTTTTTGACAATCCTCTTAAGGCTACAGTCATGCTTGTGCACCTTTTCATAGCACACTTTCCCTTTTCCAGTCAACTCTACGTTAACATGCTTTGGAACACTTAATTTCCTTTCCAGCAATTAACTTCTGGGGTCAGTCCTCCTTGTTGAGGGTGTTGATGCTCATCTTCTGGACAGGTGTCCAGTCAGCAGTCTCTCCCATTATTGTGGTTACATGTACTGAACTAGACCAAGAGATACATGGTATTGATACTGTTTGTACTGTAATTTGCAAAAAATTGAAATGAACTATTCTACTATTTGTCTTTTTTTTTTAAAAAAAGCTGGATTTCTGACTTTCATAAGCTATAAGCCAAAATAGTCAAAATTCAAACACAAAACTTGACATGTTTTACTTTACATGTAGTGAATATAGAATAATATCAAAGATGACCTTTTTGAGTTATTGGTAAAATTGATAGCGTGTCATACGAGATAAACCAGGTCCAACCTCAGCCTCTCAGCAACGTTTTAGCTGTTTCCTGAAGTTCCTATTCTGGCAGATGTGTGTTTGCCTTTCATCACATCAGTAACCATTTTCTTGTGTCCCTTTGTCCCCAGAACTCCCACTGCACTATGTCTATCAGGAGGAGGAGGCTCCTGCTGACCTGCTTCATGATCAGGAGAGGAACTCTGGTCTGCACCAGAAGGATCCAGACCATCGCCAGATAAAAGAGGAACAGGAGGATCTCTGCACCAGTCTGAACCAGGAGGACCCAGAGCCTCCACAGATGAAAGAGGACCAAGAGGAACTCTGCACCAGTCTGGACCAGGAGGACCCAGAGCTTCCACAGATGAAAGAGGAACAAGAGGAACTCTGCACCAGTCTGGACCAGGAGGACCCAGAGCTTCCACAGATTAAAGAAGAACAAGAGGAACTCTGCACCAGTGTGGACCAGGAGGACCCAGAGTCTCCACAGATGAAAGAGGAACAAGAGGAACTCTGCACCAGTGTGGACCAGGAGAACTCAGAATCCTCACAGATTAAAGAGGAACAGGAGGAACTCTGCACCAGTCTTGAAGGACAGCTGCTTGTGCAGAATCAGGAGAGTGATACCTTTATAGCAACTCCTACTTATAAAGAAAGGGACCACAGTGACACAGAACCAAACAGTTACCAGCTACTCTGTCACAACTATTTCGTAGCTGAGAGGTCAGATCAGGAAAGAAGCAAGCATGCAGACTTAGAACCAACTACAAATGCAAAGCTGAAGCAAACAAAGACACATCACAGAAACAGCAGTCACAGTCACAATATAGACAACACTCCCATGGCTGAGAGTCACTGTGAAACTGACACAGGGAAAAAGACTTTAACATGTGAAGTCTGTGGAAAAGCCTTTAAAAATAGACACAGCTTGAAGAAACATTACAGCAGTCATACAGATGAGAAGCTGTTTGCTTGTAAGGCGTGTGAGAAAAGTTTCAGGGATAGAGCTCACCTAAAAGTCCACATGAGAACTCACACAGGTGAGAAGCCATATGTTTGTAACACATGTGGAAAAAGATTTTCTGACACATCAGCACATAAAAGGCACATAGCAATCCACAAAGAGGAAAAGCCATATTCTTGCGGAACATGTGGGAAAAGTTTTTGTCGTCATGATAACTTGGTGTTTCACATGAGAACTCACACAGATGAGAAACCGTACCCATGTAGCAATTGTGGGAGACGATTTAGCTTCAGATCGTATTTGAAAGTCCACATGAGAACTCACACAGGTGAGATGCCTTACCTTTGTAACACCTGTGGAAAAAGATTTACTGTGTTATCGCGGCTTAAAAATCATATGACAATCCACACAGGTGTGAAGCCGCATTCTTGTACAACATGTGGGAAAAGTTTCTGTCGTCAGGATAAGTTGGTGCGTCACATGAGAATTCACACAGGTGAGAAGCCGTACGTTTGTAACACATGTGGGAAAAGATTTTCTGACACATCAACACATAAAAGGCACACAGCAATCCACAACGAGGAAAAGCCGTATAACTGCAAAACCTGCGGAAAAAGTTTCAGTCGAGGAAGTAGTTTGAAAATCCACATGAGAACTCACACAGGTGAGATGCCTTACCTTTGTAGCACCTGTGGAAATAGATTTGCTCTCTTATCACAGCTTAAAAATCATATGACAATTCACACAGGTGTGAAGCCGCATTCTTGTACAACATGTGAGAAAAGTTTCTTTCGTCACGCTAACTTGGTGCTTCACATGAGAACTCACACAGATGAGAAGCCATATGTTTGTAACACATGTGGAAAAAGATTTTCTGACACATCAAAACTTAAAAGGCACACAGCAATCCACAAAGGGGAAAAGCCATATTCTTGTGGAACATGTGGGAAAAGTTTCTGTCGTCAGGATAACTTGGTGCTTCACATGAGAACTCACACAGGGGAGAAGCCGTTCTCTTGTAAAACCTGCGGAAAAAGTTTCAGTAAAGGAAGTAGTTTGAAAGTCCACATGAGAACTCACACAGGTGAGAAGTCGTCATCCTGAAACATCTGTCAAAAAAAGCTATTTAAACAGGTTAAAAGTTTTAAATCAGCTTCCGACTGTGCCTCAACAATAATTGTGAGGAAATATGTCAGCAGTCCTTGATGATTAGACCAGATGGAGTCTGGACTCTGGTGGTGGTGGAGCTGGGCGAACATCCAGGCTGAACATCTGGATAAATGTAGTATTGGTATAGGCTGCTATAGTTTTGGTATCCTCCTTCAGCCTTCATCAGCGTAGCAGTGATGTGAAATATTGTGAAGCTCTTTGGAACATTTTCACATCCTGCTGGAAGAACATGGTTGATCATGTGTGAACATACTGCTGGAGTCCAAACAGCTCCAGTGCTGCTGTCTTTAAAGTAAAAGGAGACAAAGAAATGCTGAGGCATTATAACAGTAGGACACAGCAGAGTGTGTCATTGCAACAGAAGAGATCTGCACATAAACCTCCTTTGTTTGTTTGTCCTGTTTCAAAGACAGACAGCTGAGGAGATGAAGTGGACTTCTGTTGGTACCTGTAGAGGTAGTTGATACAGTCAAGACAGTCATAGTGTTTCGTTCCACAGCCATCATTACATTTTTAAATGTCATTCATCTCATTTCTTCATCAGCAAAATGTCACATACATAGCAGCAAATTCGCCAAACAGAAATCACCTTTACTGATTTAATGTGATTAAAAATGTGATCTCCACGGGCTGTAATGTTGTACAGGTCAAACTGTGTGAAAACTACAGCCATATGTCATGAACTTAATCTGTCATCTGTTTGTTCGTCATCAGTGATTTATTTCTTGATGTGTTATTGGAAATGGTGAATTTGGTTTAAGCTCCACATTGATTGTAAATAAACTTTAAACAACTGTCTGCAGCTCCATGAGTGCTTTGTGAAATGTTTTAAGTGTAATTAAACAGATTAACATTTACAACTTGTTAAATAATGACTTTAACACCGAGGAGCCCCAGCAAAGGTGTTTTGTTTTGAAGCAACACACAATTGGTTTTACTGGTAGTAGCTCCCCCCGTCGAACTGCCACCTTGTCCCCCGCAGCCTCGGCCCCTGCTCTCGTGTCTCTCTTTCTCTCTCTCTGTGTCTCTTGCTCTTCGTCTCTCTCTTGCTCTTTGTCTCTCTTGCTCTCTCTCTCTCTCTGTCTCTCTCTGTCTCTCTCTCGCTCTCTTGCTCTCTCTCTCTCTCGTGGGCTCCAGCACGGCTGGCGGCGGAGCATGCAGGCAGGTGTGCCTTATTACCAATCAGCTGATTGGTGTTTTGGGATTGGTCCGCTCCAGTTGCGGCCTTTCTGTCTGCCGGGATTTCAGCTGCGGTTGGACGATGCTCCAGCGCCAGACCGTTGTACCACGCATTGGACCTTCTGTCTTCCGTCATTCTGCCACTCACCAGCCATCACCCACCTTTCCTCTGACTATCTGCAGCCAGCATGCCTATCTGCCCTGGTTCCCGGTTCAGCCATCCTCCGGTTCTCTCCGTCACCAGCTGTTGCTCTGTACACTCTCCTCGTATTGAGCCAGTTAAGCCGTCACCGTTCTGTCAGTAGTTTTTTTGCATTTGTAATAGGGGTGAGAAGCCCCGGACACACTGAGTCCCAGGGGGAGCACTCTGTATAAATAAATATTCAACATGAGGCTGGTTGAAAGGATAACAAAATGTATTAATAGGCTGGAGTTGTTAAAAAAAACAAAACAATTTAAAATGTTCCTAGTCCGGGGCTAGAGAAAAAAATCCTGGTCAAGCCAG